GAGAAATAGACCATATGTATAAAACAAGCAATGAATGTGACAGTATTTTATAGAAAGTGATACTTCCTGTAAACTTGACTCTTGGCTGATTCATCCTGTGGTTGATAAACATATGCATGTTTGTAATTCTTATCTGTATTCCCATTAGCTAATCTTCAAGGGAACTTACCACGCTCTAAATTTTGACCTCTTTGATACAGGCCTGTGGTTTTTCAGAAGTTTAATAAGGTAGTAATGTGATTGGGCAATGATTGCATGTTATTGGGTGAGGCTGATAACAATTTTGCCACACTAGTTTAAATTTCTGCAAACTTCTTAGATTTCTTGAATGTGTATGTGAAGTTGCTTTATTAACTACAAAATTGTAGGAATATTGAGAAACAGATGGATTGAAGTCAGGAAGACACTGGGACATTTGCCAAGTCAGCCTCTCCTTGCATTCCTTGTTACATATTAGATCACCCTGTCTCAAGGAAACCCAAGTGCTCTCCACTGTCTCCAGCCTGAGCTCAGTCCCATCACGGAGCATTCTGCCTATGTGGTTCATGTTGGAACCTTTCTCTTTGAGAAACTTATTGTTTCCTTGTTATCCTGTACCATGTTTCCTACAGATTCCCAGTTTGATGTGTGTGATCAGAGTGTGTATATCCATATTCTCCCTCCAGTTGATTAATAAATTCCTTGAAGACAGTGACAATGGATAACATTTCTTCCAGCATTTTCTATAGTGCCTGTTTCAGTCAACTTTTTCATAGCTGTGACCAAAAGATTCAACAAGAACAATGTGGAGGAGGAAAAGGTTATTAGGCTCATGGTTTCAGAGGTCTCAGTCCAGACATGGCCATCTCTATAGCTCTGGGCCCAAAGTGAGGCAGCACATCATGGCAGAGGGTGTGGCTGAGGAAAGCAGCTGAGGACATGGCAATCAGGGAGCAGAGAGAGAGAGAGCTCTGCTTACCAGGACAAAATATAAACCCAAAGGCACTCCCCCAGTGACCTCCCTCCTCTAGCCACACCCTACCTGCCTATAGTTACCACCCAGTTAATCTGTATCAGTTGATTAATCCATGGATTAGGCTAAAGCTCTCATAATCTAATCATTTCACCTCTGAAAATTCTTGCCTGTCTCACACATGAGATTTTCGAATCACCTCATGCCTAAATCATAACAGTGCTTCGTGTAAGTCTGAATGCAGTTAGTATCAGTTAGTACTTGTCAGATTGAAGGAGTCATTTGTGTTCAGAACTGCTAATTATCACTTTAGTTGGGGGAAATTTTCCTAATTTTGGTGATACCCATTGAAGAGAGAGTTCTTCATGTTTAAGAGTTTTACATTAAAATGTATCATAAATAATGTCTTGCATTGTACATTATACATTACAGTGCAAAAATAAATCCAAGCACTACAGAAGTGGACAATGAGTATTGTCTTCCCCAAATCATTTTTCATCCCACTCCCTAAAGATAATTCCTTTTAAAAGTTTGCATATTTTTTAGAGACATTCTCCATGTACATGAAAAGACTAAGTACTGAATATTTGTATTCTCCTTCCTCCATTCTTATGTTGAAATCCTAGCCCCCAGTATGATGGTGTTAAGAGGGAAGCCTTTAGAGAGTGATTAGACTTTGAGGGAGGAGACTTCATGAGTGGAACTAGTCCCCTTATACAAGAGGCATGAGAGATGGCCTTTCCCTCCACCGTCTGAGAATACAATAAGAAGGTGGTTCTCTATAAACCTGGAAGAGGGCTCTTCCCAGAACCCTATGGTGCTAACACCCTGACTTCCAACCTCCAGAGCTGTGAGAAGCAAATGTTTGTTGTTTAAACCATGCAAATCTATGGTATTCTGTTTCAGCAACCTAAACAAAGACAGACAGACAGACATAAAATAGGCATTCTTTTTTAGTAAAAGAGCAGAAGCAAGGCTAATTGATGGTTAGAAAGCTAGAGTTTAATTTTCCTCCCATCAAAGAGCATTTGTCTTAGATTTTCATTCTTGCAGCATCTGACCTATCTACTAGGAAGTCAGCTTAGTAGAGATGCTCCTGGAAGTTTGGGGCATTGTCTGTAAGCTGGTACAAGCCATTACACAGTGGATCAGATATCCTTCACACAATGCCGCCAGTTTGACTCCTGCTTCCTATTGAACTGCAAGTGTCTGACCGTAGGTTTTTATCTCTTGTGGTCACAAGAGCTAAGCTAAAGATTCTTTTCATTTTTCTGATCCTTCAGGTCACCATGTGGTATTTTTGGTCCTCTTCCCTCTTTGTCTCTTTGCCTTCCAAGTTTCTTGAAAAGAGATACTTTATGGAGGGCATCTCTAAAGAACTGTTGACTCCTGAGTGCCTGCAGTTTGCCTGTCTTAAGTCACTTTCAGCCTTGTGGATATAAGGGGTTAGAGTTTGAGGACTTAATGGTTCATTTTTCCCCTTGGAATGCTTTTTTGTGACAATGACATAGGGCATTTGGTGAGTAGCGTGGTGACCTATGACAAGGACTGGAATGTTACAAGTTGTAGTATTTACACCTAGAATACCTCCATTTTGTTAGAGCAGTGAAAGGCCATTTGTCCCTCAGACTGGATTACAAGCAGAGAAGAGTGCTCTTGTCACTGCTGTTGTTTTAGCTGATATTTAAGTGCCCCTCCCCCAACTGTCTGACAGAAAGAAAAAGAGTCCAGCAGCTTTCTAAGTGCATGGCCCTGGCAGCATGTCATTTGTCCAGCTTGTCCCTGTGGTCAGTATGTACTTTTTTCTCTAACCAGGGACATAATGTTTGACATTTCCATGGGTTGATGGTCCCAAAGCTGTTTTATGTTCTGATTTTTGGAGAAAAAAGTTACAGACCATATCTCTTGCCTTTTATAGGTCGGTTGTGAATGAATAATTAATACCTAGAACTGGTTGCTGTGCTGAGTATTAGTGTGTGCTTCCCTCATCTGCCCTGAGCCCTAAACATACCATCTATGGAACTGTATTCATGGTCCCCAGGCATTTGAAGGAAGGCCGTGATAGTGTGGATGCTTGTAAATAATGTAGAGGTATTCAAGACTACCTGGAGAAATATAGGATGGAGGCCGTCAAGGCTGGAGGATGCACCTGATACTAATGTGAAACCCAAAACCCCAACACTGAATTTAACAGGTGTGCTTGTGCACTTTCTTTGAGCATTTAATCAGATGTAATCTTCAGGCATGCCCACATGTGGGTTTTTTTGTTTCTTTGTTTTGTTTTTAACTCTTTCCCATTCAGGGAGCCATTTTTAAATGGGCTTACCTGTTGAATTTTATGATGGAGGATGATAATATTTCCATTTTTAAAACAAAAAGGAGGATTTCAAACTAATTAATCATGGTAATTTAATCTGTAACTAACTTGTGATTTAAAAAAAAAATTATTTATTTTTGGTACTGAGAATTGGACCTAGGGTTTATTTATTTATTTATTTTGTACCAGGGATTGAACCCAGGGGTGCTTAACCATTGAGCCACAACCCTTTTAATATTTATTTTGAGACAGAGTCTCACCAAGTTGTGTAGGGCCTCGCTAAGTTGCCGAGGCTTGCTTTGAACTTGAGATCCTTCTGTCTTGGTCTTCTTAGCTGCTGGAATTACAGATGTGCACCACAGCACCCGGCTTGTCTCTTTATTTTTAAGCTTTGTGAATTTTGCTTTTTAGACAGAGTGCTTATTGATTTCTTACTTTCATCATGTATTATTGAATGAATGATTAAAATATTCGTTAAGCAATTTCTGTGTGCCAGGCTCTGCGACTAGTGTTGGAAATACAGAGATAAGTGATTAAAGGAAAACATGACTGCATGGTCAGCAGAGATTTTTTTGTCATCACAGAGGAGAGGTGATACTAGTAAATGGAAGAGAAGTACAGGCCAAGGAAGTGAAAGGGAGCCATGTGCAGGAAGAGCTCTAGGTAAAAGAGAAGGAGTGAGGTCTTGAATGCTATGCCAAGGAATATAGCTCTTACTCTGTATTCTGGTTTGCAAAATTCAGATCAGAAGATTTTTTTATTTTCAAATAGAAAAGTATTTGTTACTTCAATATGTAAAACTGCAAACTTAGAGCTGTCCTAGGTGAAACAGCCTAGACTCCTACCCCCAGAGGTCCTGAGGCCTAGATGTAACCTGAGAACCACTGATGTGAGTTTTGGGGAATGGTAGGATCACACCTTTGTCTCCAGATGGTGTAGAAACCAGAGAGGCAAGGAAGAGGCAAGGCATTTTGGGAGACTTGTCATTTTTTTCCAGGGAGAAGACAGGCCCTGAAACTGGGCTGATAAAGCAAGAGCCAGGACTTAACTATTGAATTAGGATCCCTAGAACTTCCTCTCCAAGAGGCTGTGGAGGGAATGGGACAATGAAGAGGAAAAAGAGTTTGATTTTGGTTATCTGAAGCCTTCCCACGTCAGATGCTTGAGGCTCAGGAGAGTTGTGTGAGGTTTTTGGATCACATAGGTGCAAAATGGGTGTGTGTGCGCATATGTATTGTGTGGTCTCCAGTTTTAGGATTATATACTGGTTTCCTCAGCTCATCTTTGTCTATGTTCTGTCTAGCCCAGAGACTCTTTCAGTTTGGATAGCTAAATGCACTTGGGGGTTCCTCCTAGGGCCAGAGCATCTGGATCTTTCTGGGTTTGGTTTCAGGCATTCAGGACTGTCCATCTCAGAGCCAATAATAACAATGGAAGAATGGCCTCAGAGTCCTGTGGTCTCACATTAGATCCCTCCTCTGCTACTTGCTAACTGTGAGATAGTGGGAAATTTTTCCTATAGGATGAGAACAATATCTAGGCTAGGCTCAGTGGCATACACCTGTAATCCCAGTGATTTAGGAGGCTGAGGCAGGAAGGATGGAAAATTTGAGGCCAGCTTAAGCAGTTTAGTGAGACCCTGTCTTGCAATAAATAAGGACTGGGAATGTAGCTCAGTGGTCAAGTATCCCTGGGTTCAATCCTCTGTACCAAAAACAAAACAAAAAGAAAGAAAACAAAACAATATTTATTTTACAGGAATGTGAGAACATACAGTAATGTGGAAGTTATCTAGCTCAGTGTCTGCACACAGTAGCATGCTTGTGAGGTGTTGATTTACAACATTTCATTATGAAAAATCAATCTTTTGAAGAGAAGGTTCCTCTCTCCCCCTTCAAGGAGGCCTTTCCTATTGAGATATATCACATTAATGTGAAGCAGGAGGTTAAAAGTTAAGGTGGAAGACCAAGGACATTTAAAGGGCACATGCTTGATGGCCTAAAGATACCAGTAACTTGTGGCTTGCTTTGTTTGTTATAGTGACTAGAGGGCTTTTGTGGCTCAATCCTTCTCCTGGGAGGCAGAAAAAGCACTGAAAAAGACTTTGTTTTTGAATTTAAAAAATTAATATGATCTTCACATTTGTGCATTCTCTTCCTGCACTTTTGCTTGGTTTAGATCTGCACTCAGTGCACATTAAAATGATCCTGCATAATCCCAAATTTATTGAAAGAATGACTTAGGGAGAAATGCAATAAAAATATTTAAAAACTGTTGATAAATTGATTTTCCCCACTCTTCCTCCAACCCCCAGTCAAATGACTTGAGGTTGGAGGCAGAAGGACATAGTGTAGAAAAATCCAAGTCAGACAGGCTACCGGAAGAGGGCTGGTCCTTAGAGGGGGTTATTTAGCTTTAGTGCTCTGTTCCTCTTTGTTGAGACAGCTGTAGTTTGGTATGGGGGAATAATAAAGAAGAAATATTACTAGATTTCCAAGAGGATTATTTGTAATACTTAAAATTTGTGTGTCACTTTCATCTTGGAGAACATTCTAGAATATTACTGTGATATTAATAGCAGCCGGTAGGGGGAATTATCACCCATTTCACAGATTTCAATCTGAGTTTTTCTGCATTGGGTCGTTCTTTGCCCAGCCTCTGTAACATAAATCAGAGATGTCTGGGTTCCCAGGCACTAATTGAAAGCTTCTGATGCTTGTCTTTGACTGTCATTTCCAGCCCTCTTGGAAATTGCGTTTCTTTACCTAAGTATTTGTTGGTCTCCAAATGCCCTTTAATTCATGGGAAAAATATTGTACCTATCCCTACAATTACTCCATATTAGAGAATTATGAGCAAGACTGAGATAACTTGAGTATCTCATTTGTGACACCAGTGATGATTGAGCTTATTAAAACCTTTCCCAAGAGGCCTGAACCTCACCTGTATTTAACAGGAGGCTGAGATTTGACAATCAGATGTTTTACAGAGTATTTCCTTTTTGTTTCTGACTATCAAACATAAGAGAAGCGTGACCACTTTAGAAAGGGGAGCCTAAATACTTATTTTAAAAAAAGATCAAACATTTATTTGTATACTAGTATACTAAAAAGATATGACAGTATGAATTATCTTGTAAAATATCGTGGGCTGGGAGTGTAGCCGAGGTAGAGCACTGGCTTAGCATGTTCAAGGTCCTGGGTTCGTCCTCAGCATTCCTCCCTGCTCCCCGCACTCCACCAAATAAGGCGATTTAAAATATATCCTAGGGAGGTGGTGGACTGACATTCTTTTGTAACCAAAGTTAGTTCTGGCCTCTTTTCACTGTGGTTTCTGTGTACATGGTGAGACACAGACTGTATGTTAGTATAGGGATGATAGCAACCTTTGTCCTTCTTGAGGTAAATAATAAATACCCTGTGACTCTGACTCAAGGCCAAGTCTCATGTTAATTTTTTGTTAATGTTTCATGTTTGATGAGTCAGAAATGCGAGCTCTTATACAGTGTTATTAACAAGAACCAGGGTAACTTTGATTATAATCACTTCAAATTACAGACTTCTTTCCTGTGTAATGATTTTTACCATTTGCTCTTCTATAATCCTTAATAGGCCAACAACAAGGACAGTTTTTTGATCAGTGAGAACCTTAGTCCGTTGTTTCATGAGCTCTTAATACCCTAAAATTATCCTTAACAGCAGGCTGTATGTGGCTACATTGACAGGACATCAGTGTTCTATAGCTGGGTGGGCAAGTCTCAGTATTCCAGGGTGGCTGATGACAGGTCCTCAGAGACCTTCAGAACTAGGGAAACTCATCTAACATCTCCCAAGGTGATCCTAGATGCACACATGCAATCTCACCCCTACATTGTGCTCACAGTCCTACATTGTGTAAATGTGCACATGCTTGCTTCTATATGATGTGTTACTACCATGTTTGAAATACTGTTTTCCTCTATGTTTTGGAGACTCGATCTCAAAAGATACTAACTAAAAATTAAAGCAGTTTTTGAGCAGTTGCATGAAGGTCAGCCTTGTAAAGATCTCCAGGCCTGGCATGAGTGGCAGCGGTGATGGATGGAGGTTCCTCTGTAGCACTGCACACAAGTGTAAGGTGTGGAGGCAATTTAGAGCTAGTAACTAAGTTGTGAGGACTTTTGTTATAAAAATGAGAGTTGGCACGATTCCCTATAACATTTCTTTTTTCTGGCGGGTGGAAGGGAGGACTCAGGGATAGGTGCGTTGGTTGATAGCATTTGAGAACATTTTGTTCAAGCTCCAGAGTCTTGGATGCAGAACGTGTGGCTCTAGATCTGCTGTTTTTTACCCCTGCACAGGAGTGCTCTTCTCCTTGGTCTTTACTGGTGCTTTTTTTTTTTTTTTTTCCTTCTTCAATTTTTTGTTTTTTAAATTTATTTTTAATTTTTTGTGGTGCTGGGGACTTGAGCATGCTAGGCAAGGGCTCTACCCACTGACTTACGTCCTCAGCCCCTTAGATTTATTTTAAATTGTGGTTTAAAAAATGCAACAAACATTACCATCTTAATCATTCTTAAGTGTGCAGTTCAGCAGTATTGACTGTATGTACGTTGTTGTGAAATAGATCCCTAGAACTTTTTCATCTTGCAAAACTGAAACTCTACACCTGTCGAACAATAACTCACTGTTTCCCCTCCCCTCAGCTCTTGGCAACAGCCATTCTACTTTCTGTTTCCATGAGTTTGACTAACTAGGTACTTTGTGTAAGTGGAGTCATGTTATATTTGCCTTTTTGTGATTGGCTTATTTCATTTAGCAGAATGCCCTCCAGGTTCATCCATGTTGTAGCATGTGGCAGGATTTTCTTCTTTTTTAAGATTGAATAATATTCAGGCAGGTCTACCCGTTTATTCACTGATTAGTATTGGAGTTGCTTCCATGTCTTGGATATTGTGAGTGCTGGTATGATGAACAAGGGTATACAGATAGCTCTTTGACATCTTGTTTTATTACCCAAAGTTGGATTGCTGGAGCATATGATTATTCAATTTAAATGTTTTGAAGAATCTTCATATTGTTTTTGTATCGTCTGCACCATGTTTCCATTAATGGTGTATAAGGGTTCCAGTTTTTCCACATCCTTTACTGAGGCTTTATAATATTATTAAAATAAGGGATAGTAGAAAAAAAGGCACCATTGTGATCTCAAACTGTGTTTTTGTGAATAGATGGTAATTAAACGGTTGATTGAAAGGTAATGAAAGTAAGTGTAGAAGTGGTTATGGGTGGTCACAGGTGGCAGGCATTAGAAAACAGCTTAGTCCTTTCTTCTCTCACTTCATGCCTCACCTGTCATTAAAATTCTAGTTGTAGCTGGGTACAGTGGTACATGCCTGTAATCCCAGCAGCTCAGGAGGCTGAGGCAGGAAGATCTCCATTTCAAAGTCAGCCTTAGCAAAAGTGAGGCACTTAGCAACTCAGTTAAGACCCTGTCTCTAATAAAAATACAAAATAGGGATGGGGATGTGGCTCAGTGGTCAATACCGAGTTCAATACCCAGTACCTCCCTCCCTGCCCCTCCCCCCCCAAATCTTGTTGTAATGAATCAATCCATTTGTCAAATATTGTTTTAAAAATGTCTTTTGAGTAGACCATACCCTCAAGATAGCATAATAATAATAAAGGAGTGGTCAATGCAGAAAACTAAGAGAAAGAGTTTTAGAATAACAAAGTCTGTTGGGGCTGCCTATGTTCTTAGTTCTATGCTAGCCTAGGAGATAAGATGGTCCCACAGTCTTGACTCCCATTTTCTCTGAGCTGGTGCAAGTGGGGCATCGCAGAACATAGAAGGGTGTCAGTCACCTATCACCTGGTACAAGTTTTTTGGCTCCATGGTGGTGTTGGATGCTTGAAGGTAGATGGGATAGGACATTAGAATGAGCTTTCTCTGATTTTAAGCCCTGGCCCCACTGCACTGACAGAGGGGCATGAGGAATGCATGTCACTTCCTTTATCCTCAGCTACCTGTACCTTCAGGTTGGTCCTGGAAATTAAAGAGGCACAGGAATTCAGAAAGACTACTTTCTAATCTCCAGCCAGGAACTTAACTTTGTATATCTGGGTGCACATCTCTGTGCCTCATTGTTGAAATAGAAGGCTTAAATACGTAAATTTTGAAAAAGGAATTTCTGACACCTGTTACAGAGTTCTGGCTGTCAACTTCTAAACCTGAAAGATTAAACTATGGCCTGAGGGTGTTATGTAAGGTGGAAGAGGTTCTGCAGTTTACCATGGGAGGCCAGCTCCCCCACAGGGCCTTTGTTTCCTAGGTGTTTAGGCTTCTGAAATGGCTACCATGCTTCTTAGGTACTAGGCTAGGAAAGTGGGAGGAAGATTGTAGAAGACTTGTATCTGCCCTAAAACAACTTAAATATTTCCAAGTCCATTATATCCAGAGAAGCAGAGAGAGTTTCTCTTTTAAGTCCTTTAGGTTTTTAGGGAAGCTAAATGACCACCTCATAGGTGCAAACTAGTCGGTGTCAAAGCTGAGAATGGAGTCTACATTTTACCTCTCTTGAGTCTGAAACTGGTACACAGTCTATTATTTTAATTAAGTAGGTAAGACTGGTGCACAAGAAAAGATAAGCACTACTCCAAGACTGTGTGTGATAGGTGCCAGACGAGGGAGCCTGGCAGTACTGGTGTAAAGTTTCTATGAAGAAATGATCATCCTAGCTGGGGTAATCTAGGAATCCTTCCTGGAGGAGGGAAGGTTTTTGAGCTGGACTTGAAGGATAGATGAATGTAGCTGGAGGAGAGGGAGCTTCAAGAGCCAAGGTATGAGAAGCCCTGCACAGGCGGTGGGATGATGATCAGTTTGGCTGGAGCAGAGGGGTAGGTAGGAAGAGGGGTTGGGGGCTGACATCTATCAAGCCATTTGTGTTGTGCCAGGTACAGGATCTGGTGCTTCACCTCTGTCATCTCATCATCCTGAGCATGGGAAATGACCTCCTGACGGCTATTGCTCGAGGTTATCACTTTCTCCCCACTTCGGCTTTGTATTTGAAGACCTATCCTCCTTCCAGTAAAATCATTTGCATTTTGATCCGGCAGGAAATTCTCCGGCTTGAAATGGGAAGAAAAGAGGAAAGGATTGTGTGTATCTGTAATCAGGATTTCAGAGGTAGCTGATAGTATTTAATTATTTTATGGTAAGCCTGCAGCTTGTCTCCCACTTTATAGGCAGCTGACAGGTCTTGGTGCTCCTGAGTGACTGGACCATCCATGAATTATTCAGGCTTGTGCTCAGTGAGTGGCTGCCTAGCAAAGAAGGCTGTTCTGTCTCACTGAGAGATCCACAAATGCTCAGGTGCTGAGGAGGAAGAAATGATTGCACCCTCAAAATATTTCACATGCTAACATGCCAGGGCTGCTACGTTCCCTATCCCTGCAACTGGGTCTTTTCTTCAAAGAGCAAGAAATAACACCTCCCATATCCCAATTAATAAATACAATAGCCCACACTCTCATATTAGTGTGACACAGGTTGGCAGGGGTTTGGTTAGATGCAACATTAAAATTTCAGGGATCCAATGTTAGAAGAACAGGGAGCATTTGTGTGGAAGAAACCCCACTCTTTTCTGATATTTCCCAGCCAAGTAGAGAAATTCAGTTGTTGATCCATTTGAAATGGTACTTACTGTGACTTTCACTAACCTGTTATTGATTACATCCTTATATCTTTTACTTGCATATGCATAACCATGTCTCAACTAGGTTGAAGGTGCCTGCAGAGAAGAAAGCACAGCCTCTGGGTCTTTCTGGATGAGTTGAGTTGGTTCTCTAGACAGAAGGCATGGGATTTATCTTGATAATGAGGTTTGCATTCTCCCATTCTATTCCTTTCTCCTTTCTTCTCCAGGTGCTTGCTCTTGTTTTTTTTCACCTGGAAAAAGATATAGGTGCAAATGCCTGAGGGCAGAGTGCAAAAGCTTATTTTCATGAAGAATAGATTCATATTTCCTCCTTTCCCATTTCTTTCCCTTTGCAGAGCTGTGCTAGCTCCTAACCCCACCCCAACGGTGTCTTTCTATTATCTCCCAACCCCTCATAAAACTCTGGCCCAATAGCTCTGAACACCTGTGTTTATCAGTCTTTTTCCTCCATGTTGGAGGTAGAAAGCAGAACCAAAAATCCTGGGCAAGAGCAGGCCTGGCCCCAATTGCATTCCTCAGATGTTCTTTTCCTTTAAATTACTCTCCCTGTAGCAGAAGAGCCCATTCAGGACTCTGGCTGGTGTTAACATTCATAAGCCTAGCAACACCTATTTGCCAGAGGTGGGGCCTATGGACTGGGGCATTCTTTTGTCCATATAGGGAAACTTTGCCTATGTAGATAACAGATGTGATATGATTCAAATGCAGGTTTAGCTGGGGAAGAAGATTCAATGAACTGCATTCCTTCCCCAGGATCTTGGGTGCTTGTTAGGAGTGGAACTTGCTATTTCTCTTCTTAGCAGTGATGTCAGGTGCTTTGTATTCAGTTCTGATATGAACAGTAGGACAGAAACCAGAAAAGGAGATGAGTGAAAATTAGGTATGCTATGGTATTTCACATTCCACCATATAACTAGATGATTTTGGTTATATGCGTGGAGGAAGGTTTATATATAGATAAACATCTTTTGTCTTCCAAGGAAAAAGGCTAGTAATCTCCATAGGCCTTAAGTCTTCCCTTAATTTTTTTCTTCTAGTTGTTCTGAGTCTTGAAGTATCAAATCTGATAACCCCAACTAGAAGAAACATTGGCCTTTTGTAATTTATTTCATGGTGTATATTGTGTCCTTGTTGTATATAAGGTGTTATTACTTTCTAGCCAGGTGATTTTGTATATGCTTTTCCCAGTGTATAATGGGGTGAGTTGAAGAGAAGGGAATGGAATGTGTGGGTACTTGTCAAATGGAGAATTTGCCTGCCACATACAAGTACCCTTGTCCCAAAATTCACAGGGGTGACTACGCTGGGCCCCAGTGGGGGGTCAGCATTTTTACATGAAGCCTGCAAAATCATCCAGCTGGTAGCCTCCATGGTGAAACAAGAGACCACCAGAAGTGGTAGAGAATTAACTTGTGAAATATCCCCTAATACAGGTTTAAAGACTGGTAATCATGGCATCTAGGATTGTTCCGGAATCTTTATGGATGTTTAGCTCACTTAATTTATAGAACAACTCTGTGAGGTTGGTATAATTTTTTAGTTGCAGAGAATCACAAGGTTAGAAAGCAGCAGAGCCAGCTTCCCACATCCCAAGCCTGCTTTTAACTACTTTTCTTCCCTTAATGGTAATATTGAAATCATTATTTACAGCTTCACTTGAAGAAGACCAGGGGGCAGACTCACCCCTGGTCTTCTAGGAATAGTGTGGATTTGAAGAGAAAGTGCTACTTCCAGCTCCCAGGCTGTGGTCCTCGAGTGCAAGGTGCCAATAGGGAGTAGGGAGACCTTCTGGAGGATGGCAAACAGGTAAAGTTTGGCATAGACATGCTAGTGTTGCGGGGCTGGGATTGTGGCTCAGCAGTAGAGTGTTCGCCTAGCACATGTGAGGCCCTGGGTTCGATCCTCAGCACCACATAAAAATAAATAAAACAAAGATATTGTGTCCAACTACAACTAAAAAATAAATATTAAAAAAAGAAATACTAGTGTTGAATGTGTTGTGCTAGTGAGCCTTTTTAAAAAAATGTAATTTGGGGAGAAAAAGGAGGTTTCATATAGTTTCTTCTTGGCTATTATTTCATGCTATGATGGGTTGTTTCTGATAAGTGGGAAAATTTCCATTGAAGAAGGGATTCGTTTGTAATAGAAGACACATGAGGAGGCAGGCTTTAGGGAAAAAAGAAGGTAGCAAGCAGGTAATTAGGGGGCAGGAGTCTCTTTGGGCAATAGATAGTGGAAGGAAAAGAAGAGTGATCAAGGTTAAGGATTTAAGAATGGAAGGAAGGCCTGGTATGGTGGCGCATGCCTATAATCCCAGTGGCTCAGGAGGCTGAGGCAGAAGGATCCTGGGTTCAAAGCCAGCCTCAGCAACAGTGAGGCACTAAGCAACTCAGTGAGGCCTTGTCTTTTAACTAAAAAATATAAAATAGGGCTTGGGGATGTGACTCAGTGGTTGAGTGCCCCTGAGTTCAATGCCAGGTACCCAAAAAAAGAATGGAAGGAAGTGGGCAGGAGGCTCTTAGAGAATGGAGTAGGTGGGTGAGAGGTAAGACAGCAAAAACCAGAGAGAGAGACACAAAGATAAAATAAATGAATGCCCTGTAGAGTGTTCATGCAGTGGCATGATTTGGAGCCCACTTCTCTCTCTGACCACGCAAATGGAAGAGGATTATTTTAGTCCTCATATTTTGTTTTCCTATAAGGAACTGCTCAAGAGAAATTGGCTATGCTCATCCAGCTGTCAAGTGATTTGACACTGATTAATAATGAAAGGCAGATTGATGGGAAATGGCAGTGGAAAGCAGCAGAAAATTCAGCAAAACAGTTTATATATGAAACTTTGTTGTTTTTTTGTCTCTCCCTGTTCCCACCACTTCTTTCCCAGCGCTTGGGCTGGTTTTTCAAGTCCTGAGATTGAATGTGTACAAATCCCATCACATCTTAGCATTTTGGCCATCCTCTCCCGGACATTTTCAATCTTACTAATGTTTGGATATCGAGGAAATGAACATCCAAAGTTTACCCTTTCAAGCTTGCTGTAATGCAGAAAAAGCATTCATCTTTTTTTTTTTTTTAATCTCTTAAGACTATACAGACGCTCTTAGAACACAAGTGTAATCTCACCCCGAATCACATCTAACATGCTGAATGCTACAGAATCTTAGTGAACAGGTCCACCAAGTATGAGAAGAGGAACAAAACCAAACAAGACCACACAGAACCCATTCTCAACAAAAGACCCCTCCAAGTGTCAAGTTTTATGTGTACTTGCAGAGAATGTGCCTATTCTTGACCCAAACTAACTGTTGTAGGGGTTCCCAGGGAGGCTTGCTTGGGTTTTAGGTTTACCTCGGTACTATTTGAGTTTACAGTTTTTCTGAAAAGCTTAGAAATCCTTACTTAGATAAACTCCAAGCACATATGAGAAATGGCAGAGACGGAGAGGTGGAAGGAGTGCTGGACTTGGTCAGCCTGGGATCCACCTGTTGGCTTAGCTGTTTATCAAGCTGGGCAGATCTTGGCAAGGAAAGCACTATATCTCCCTGACTCTTAGTTGTCTTATTTGCAAACTGCAGTCAATATTTAACCTTATAGGGTTTCTTGATAAATATATGTGAAAACATTTAGTAAACTGCAAAGGGTGATAATTTTATGGTTATTATGGCCATTCTGTTTATGTGGGGATTGATAATAATTGGGACTACAGTTATAATTGGGACCCGAGTAGGGGCATCCAAATCACTGATACATTTAGGACCAGAAGGAATTTTTATGGTGTTAGATTCCAACCTGTGTGATTTATATACAAGGCCCCAGGAAGGTTAGAAACACAGCTCAAGATTTGGTATCCTGTTGGTGGCACCCAGAAGTTAGGGTGAGCCCCAGTACCTGATACTGGACTTGGGTCCTTCCGAAGCTTTTAATTTGTTCTGTCCACAGATCATCATGGGGACCTGGCTTTACCTTTTTGGCATCACTGAGCTGCTTTGCCAGTCAGTCATGGATGTTTTTCACACCTTGGAATCTTTTTATTATTATTATTTTATATTTTTTTAGTTGTAGATGGACACAATATTTTTATTTGTTTATTTTTTTATGTGGTACTGAGGATCGAACCCAGGGCCTCATGCATGCAAGGCAAGCGCTATACCACTGAGCTACAATCCCAGCCTCACACCTTGGAATCTTGATGCATCTTGAAGGCAGGCATCACCACTCTTGTTGAGTTGGTCCCCTAGCCTGGGTGAGGACTAGGGTAGATTAGAAAATGGAGGAGATGGGCCATAATGACAAGGTCTATTTCTGCAGGAAGCTTGGTCAATTACTAAGCATTCTGAATACCGTCTCTCTCTTTTTATGTTCCCAGTCACATGACACATGTATCTGCGTGTCTTTGGGATTCTTTTGAGATCACTGTAAATAAAACTGTGGGTAGGATGCTTGACCTGTCATTTATTAAGATAGGGCTAAGTAAGCTCCTTTAAATCCCTTCTTCCCTCCTCAGAATGTCTCTGTCCTTTCCCTGCCTCTGAAAATGAGCGGACCTCCTCTAGGCTGAGACTGACTACCAACCATACCTCTGAGCCATTTTCCTACTGGCTTTTCTCTACTTATGCCAACCTAGGGGTGAAACCTGTGCACAGAGGACATGCTCAGTTGGGCCTTGCCCCAGAACCCCTTTCCCTTGTCCTTTAACCTCTATTCCCCAGTCCCTATTGTCTCTTCTTCCCCATTCTCCTTATTCTCTAAGTCTCTGTTACCTGGCTTTAGCTTTTATTAACCCATTGATCTCCCAATCTGCACACTGTCTTGTCTTTTCTCTTACTTCCTTGTCCTTTTTGATGTCACTCACCCCATTTCCTCCTTGAGTATCTCTCTTTTCTATTGGATTTTCATTCTGTAACTCTCCATTATTTTTTCTTCTTCCTCCCAAACCCAAGTCATTCCCAGGGCTCTACTTAGGCTCTTGCCTTGTTATTCCCTTCCTTGAAATAATAACATCATTACTCTCTCAACTGACACCTCTGTGCCCAGGACTGTATCTTTAGCTTTAAGCTCTGGTTGTCCATCCCTGGCTGCTCTGGACATGTCATCTGGTGGTGTTACAGACTCAGATTCAGTCTGTTTAGAAGGAAATGTTCAGTCCTCCCCTACATACCCGCTGCCAGCTCCAGTCTTTCCTGATCCTATCCTTTGAACTTTCACATAAAGTTGGTTACCAAAGTCCTAGGATTAACTCTTACATCAGCCCTTTGATTCCTGTTGCCACACCCTGATTGGTCCTTTGACCCAGACATTTGCAGTAACCACCCATTTGACTTTTCTGCCTTCATTGTTTCTTTCCTGACAGATTAATCATCCCTAGAGCCCAGCCCAGACCCTCTAGCTCTAAAGTCTCCAGTGGTTCTCAGCCCATTCTTAGTTCTAACCTGCTTCTCATGGTTTCCATCCCAGCCTAACAATTCCTGCGCTTCAGCCAGCCAGCTCAACTCAGCTCTTGGTCATCCTACTCCTGGGGCAGTTAGGTGAGGCTGCTTCTCCCTCTCTCCAGCCTGTTGCCTGCTTGTGTTTCATGGTCATGTCATGTTTCTCCTGGCGCTCCTCCCACCTGCCTTTCTAGGCAGAGGTGGCCTCCATGTCTTCCGAAGTCTTTGTATTATTTTGGTATTTAACTGTGTGCACATAATTTGTCCCATCTCCTTTGGCTAGCAGCTCTTCTAGTCATCTTTGAATCCTCCAAAACATCATTGCCTTGCCCACCTTGTATTGTAAATACAGCACTGTAAAACACTAAAGAAATAAAGAACAAGTGCCTCTGGCCGTCCTTCACCTTCCTCCCCACTGCTGACTTGGAGGCAGTCAGATGGGCTTTCAGGTTTTGTCCCATTCTTCCCTGACCCCATCACATCAAATACATTTCCGTTTCTCACCCGTCTCCATGGGGTTATTAAACCCTTCCTCAGCCTCAAAACCTTTCTAACATGTGTCTGTGTTCACTCTGCCTGGTTTGTTCTATCTCTGCTTTTTAGGATTGAGGGTGGCTTCAGTAGTCCCAGCCTCTCCCATCATGCTGTATGTAACCTGGATAATTGGAAAGCTATTTCATGTACTTCCTCATACCAGAGGGAGCTGAAAGGGAGATATTCCGAGTGGTGACTCACACTCTCCTCATTAAGTGGCTTAAAGATTAAAAATAAAATATTATAAATTGGCAAAGCATTTGTAATCTCATTTTCTGTGCAATAGCTGGACACTGAGACTCATCACATCACTCATCGTATTTAATAGTGAAGCAGGGCCTGTTGAAAAGATCCTCATTGAGACAATTCTATATTCTACTTTTCTTTGTAATCTAGATGTTACGTGGGGTGGGGGGGAATAGAAGGAAAGGTGCCCTGTGAAAAATATACTCAATTTTGAAGCATATGAAAAATTTTAGGGCATTTTTACATCATCTCTTTAGTGAGAGAGAGACTATTTCTGACATTTGGGGTTTAGAAAGAAACTAGGGTTTCTTTTAAGGTCATAGGGGTGATGAAGAGGTTTGACCAGGACTAGAAACTCAGGTTTGGGGATTCCTAGTTAAGGGTTTCTTCCAAGACCAGCATTTTGCTGTCTTCCTTCCTGACACCTGTTCAGTATTGTGAATTGGCAGAGGTAGGAGAGCTTTAGAATATGCTCTGCATCTGGGATGATGAGAAATGTCTTCTCACCCTGAATGAACCTATCTTAAAAACCAAAGGTTGACACTGAATGTATTAAAAACCTAGTTGTGTAGCAGGAGTAAGGTTTGTTGGAAGCTGGGCACAGCTAAGTTCTGGGTTGTTTTAACTCTAGAGCTGGACAGAATACAGACCCTTGTCCTAGGGACTAAAGTGGACCTGGGATGGGGGCCCACCTCTTTGGTGTAGGTAATGAATAAATTACCTTTTTCAGTATTGCTGCAGGGCTCTAAGCCCGGAATGCCAGATTTGTAATTCGTTGTCTGCCAATTTCAGTGAGAAATAAGTGGGGAGGGGGCAGGACTAGTGTCGGTTTTTTCCCAAGGATACATTTTGATCATATGACTTTCTACGTAGAGGATTTTATTTTGGATTGAAATGGGTTGGGAGAACCAGGAGAGATTTAAAAATCTGGAGAACTAAAAGTTTCGAGGCCTCGTTTAACAACTTTAAGTAGGATTGAAGGTTGATTTCTGTTCTCTGGTCTCCCCGCGGAGTTGTAAGCCCCTGGGGTCAGGATCCTGGTGGTGTTTACCTGTGCACCTTTCTCCCATAATGCTCTGCAGCTCGGGGCTCCCATAAATCCTCCTGGCTGGAATTACAGGGCCCGCGTTACCGCGGGAAGCCCCCGGCTTAACCTCCCTGGAAGGCAGCAGTCTGCCGGGAAGATTGCCCCGTGGGCCTGGGCTCACGCCTCCCCCGGCGGCGCCCTGCGTGGCGCGCAGCCTGACTTTGTTGAACTTTCCCGGCGCGCCGCTGCCGCGTGGTTGGTGCCCGCGCAGTTGGCTGCCGAGCGCCCAGGTGCGCGGCCCGGCGTTATCTCCGCTGACGCTCCCAGCGGCCGAGCGGCGCGGGCCGGGGGCCTGCGGGGCTCTCGCCAGCGTCTCGGCCTCCGGCGGTCGTGCGCTCCTTTTCAAGTGATAGTAATCGGAGATTTTTCCGTTACGTGAGGCGCCCAACAAAAGATTGTAATTCCAGCAGCTTTGTTTGGGAAGGTCCCACCGCGGCGCGGGTCGGCGGTTGCGGGGCGACCCTGGCCGTGCGGGCCCTGCGGTCCTGTGGGGTCGCGGGCCGGCCGGCCTCCCCCGCGCCCCTCCTCGTGGTACAGCCTGCGTTTCCTCCACAATGCTGTTATGCTAATCAGGTGACATCACCGCCCAGCACACGGCGAGTGGCTCCTGATTAAATTACAAACCGGCGGCCGCTGCGGGCAGTCGGGAGGAGGTGTGTGCGCTGCTCCCGCGAGCACCCGGGCTTGGTGACCGTGGCATGCTTAGGATTGGCCATATTTAAAACATTTTTAAGTAGGACTTGTGCCTCCCTCCTCTCAAGCTTCTGGGCAAGGGCCACCGAAGGAAGGAGAGCCATAAAGAATTAGATGCCTGAGTGGTAACTCCTCGCCCGGCTAAGGTGGACTCTTGCAGCCAACTTCCTATCAGATCACCCTGCACCTATTTCCGACCGGAATGCGCCTCGCTTGAGGTCCAGCCCTTTTTGCTGGGGCAGGGAGCCAAGCCGCGCGAAAGCTACTGAGTGTTGGATGGGGGTAGGAAGGGGCCGGAGCGGGATTTCCACTGTGCAGCCCGCCAGGGCGTTACGGCGAGCATAATGGAATTGCAGAGGACTTCTAGCATCTCGGGGCCGCTGTCGCCTGCGTACACGGGGCAGGTGCCTTACAACTACAACCAGCTGGAAGGGAGATTCAAGCAGCTCCAAGGTAAGCACCTTTCCTGAGGCCTCACTGGGGCCGGGTCGCCATGGGTTCTGTGGCTTTATTTCTGCCATATGGTACCTGACCCTAATGAAGACTTGGAGCCGCTCCGCACGGCCCCAAAGCCTCTGGTTGGCTGCGAGCACCCCATTCACGACTTCAGGAGGCAGTTGCTCACGCTCGTCTCCAAAAAAGCTACCATTTGGAGTCCTCTCTCCAGATCCCTTTTGGCTCTTGGTTGTCAGGTATCAGCTGCCGTTACATACACATTTTCTAAACCCTTTCTCTTTAGTTATCTTTTTTTCCTCAGGAGATCGGTGTTAATAGATCCATTAGCAGGCAAGTTTTTGGTTCCGGGTCGCCTCTGGCTCCCAGCCCCCAGCCTCCTACCTCTGGGAAGCCTTAAAGGTGTAAAGTGCACTACTCAGAGACCCAGTCCTGTAGAACAATAGCAGAGGGGAGGAGGGAGTGGTCTTTTTGTTCCTAAGCCTTCAGTAAATTACAGTTTTGATTCTAAAGCTTAATTTTAACTCTTTTGATGTATTGTGGGGGGAAGAGCCTTCCCATCAATTTAGTGGGCTATGTAATTTATAATAAAAGCCACTTATTGCCATTCCAGTGGCTATGGGTTGGATTAGATGGATCAATTACAGGTTTCTTGGCGTCTGAATCAAGCTCAAATAATTGAATACACCCAATATTTTACTATACATATTTTTAAGAAGAGCAGGACCCTGTGCTGCATGAGTGTACTATATTCTTGCCTGCAGCCCATGGCTGTCACTGACCAGCCATCAGGCCCTGGCCAGTAGATCTCAGTTTATACAAGAAAAAGGCTTTATAACCCCAAACCGAACTCCTTCCATTTGGAAGTCCCTGGAAACAGTAATAGGCAGGGAATGGCTCTAGTACTGTAAAGAGTAGTACTCCAAGACTGTGTTTCTTATTTTAGCTCTTCTTGGTGGCAAAGATGTGGTTCCTGTGAGGAGGAGGAAGGAAGGAAGCTGCTCAGTCCTAGAATGTTTTCATTTGGGGGGGGGGGTGATATATTTCATTCATTGGTTTATTTGTCTTGTGACATAGTTGACAGTAATGACACATTTTTGGAAAACAAGAGGTAGAACAGGACGTGATTTTAAACATTTGCTGGGCTGTGCTGCATTCCTTGGGCAGTTAGCTGAGAGGAATCTCCATTCACTCTTGGGAATGGTTGTGAGTTTTTGGTTCATTCTCTTGAGTCTTTGAAGATGGAGTTTAATTTTTTTTAAAAAAAAAACTTAGAGGTGAGGGGAACTTGCAAGTGGTAAAATAGAGGAATTACTTTCTCTAGGGTCTGGTAACTCAGGACGCACCCCTCTTCCCGTGGCCCAGGCTCTCTTCTTTGGTATGTCATTATGCCAAAGGGAAAGCAGCACCCACAGGAAGTCTGGACCTGAAAACCAACCGTCAGTCTTCAGCCAGCCCCCTCCCCCTTGTAGTTTCAGCAAAAATGCAAAACTGGGAGAAAATCTAAAAAGGTGAGGGGAGGAATGCACTCCAGGTCCACCCATAACAAAAGGCTGTTATTCTAAAAGAGTTGAGGGTGGTTGTAAATTGCTCACTGAGCAGGGTGGCGTTTACACACAGGAAATGTCTTAACTGTCCTCTCTGGACCAGGAAACATTTAAATAAAAAAAGAAAGAAAGAAAAAGAAATCACTTTGTGCCACTGATATTTTATGTATTTTTCTCAAAAATCCCTTCAAAAAAGGTAGGCTTCACATTGTGTGGTGACTTTAAAACAATTTTTAAAAACGAACTTTGACCTCTTAATTTAGCTCTAGATGACTTTCTTATTTTTAAATATTGTGGTGGGAGTTGCACAAGTTTAGTGCTGGTATTTCTATAACAGAAAACCACTCATGTTCAGGAACTGAGAAAGTGTGGATTAACTTTTCAAGTATGGTGGATCACAGGAGAATCACTAACTTTTAACAGCATCCATTAATAAGAAATGGAACCCAACTGCATTTTATGAGAATTTTGATAAAACCATTTCTCACTCCCTATCCCTGGCTTGGTACTGTATTTAGTATTTGCAATTCTGAAATCATTGGATTTTTTTTGGGGGGAGGGTACCAGAGATTGGACACCCCCCCCCCCTCGCACTTAACCACTGAGCCACGTCCCCTTTTTATTTTGAAACAGGGCCTTACTAAGTTTTTGAGGCTGACTTTGAAACCATGATCCTCCTGCCACAGCCTCCTGAGTTTCTGGGATTACAGGCATGTGCCACCTCATCCGGTTCATCATATTTTTGATAACGTTTAGATTCTATCTGCTGATTTAATTTTGTACATGCTTGTTATACCCTTCTGGGTATAATATTTTCTCGCACTTAACATCCAGAATTTGCAAAATGCTTCTGAATCTTTTTTAAATGCCTCCTTCTATATGAATTTAATATCTGTGCCTGAGTATGCTGTGGTTTCGTGGAAATTATTTCTGTGTTTTTAACTGGTTTCAAATACTTTCCACACTGTATCCTAAGAATTCCAGAAGGGACCATAGAGTGAGGTTTGCTGTTCTAGCTAAGGGAAATATGTTAAAATGAATTTGGTCTATTTAGATAAATAGTGTTTAGAGATTTATAGGCCAGTAAATAAATGTGATAAAAACAAAACCTCATTGACTTCAAGAACTGAGAGATATAGAGTGATATCTTTATCACACAGGAGCTTCTGGCATAAGGCAGGACAGGGCCTTTAACTTCCGATGGCTTTAACAGCACACACCTTTTTTCTCTCATTTTTCACCTGCAAAATTAAAATACAACTTTCTTAATTTGAATCAGTTCATGTTTCTTCTATAAAGTGGATTTTTTGGGGTCTTTTTTAAAAACGTAGAATATTGAAACATATTAAAACCCAGCATCATATGTTTAGAAAAATGTGTTTGTAGTAACAGAGGTTCATGATGTCTTCTTTCCAGTTCCACATCTGCCATCTTAACTCCTTACCGGAGAATACTGGTCATGCTATCCAATTGTGTAAATGAAATTCCAGATTCTTTAGCTTGGCTTTCAAAGACTCCCCCCAAGTTGCTTCCCCATACACTTCCTATTCTAACTTCAGTAGTGTGGTCAAGCATAAGTAAATCTAGAAATCTTCCAAAAGGGGAACCTGGTTTTCTCTCTGTCTACCTTGCCCCCAGATTACTGATATCATTGACTCTAGCAGTGAGTTTGTAATGAAAACTAGATCTAATTGAAAAGCATTAAAAGGAACTTTTTCTGCTGTCTTTGCAACCCACTGAGACATTCAGCACCTGACTTTTCTGGAGGTGATTAGGTTTCTGTAGCTCTTGTGTCTTCATGAATTTTCACAGGAGAGAACATGGGAGTGTCCTGGCTATGTGGGATTATAGAGGGATAGCAAAGAATTTCAGGCTGAGAATGCAGTATTCCCAAGTTTATTACATGCTGAGAGTTGCCTTCCTGTGTGTGTGTGTGTGTGTGTGTATTTCTAGAGAATCAAACCCAAGTCCTTATGTGTGCTAGAAAAGCACTCTGTCTCTGAGGTACATCCCCAGACTGACAGTTGTCTTTTAATTTCTTAACTCTTAGGGGAAAGAATAGTGCTGATTTTTATAACCATGAATAATAAAAGAATATTTATGCTAAAGTTTTTAGTAAATTTCCAGCTTGTTACACTTTCTAAATGTTTGTGTTGCTTCATTTCCTAAGCCTTAGAGAAAGATTTCTAGGTTTACTTTTGCTTATTATGAAGAAAATTTACTTTTAACTTCTTAAATTGAAAGTAATAACCTTCTAATATTTTCCATTGTGCCAGTGAAATTAATAGATGAGTAATATTTTTTTGTAGGGAAGTGGTGGAAGTGAGTTTTGTGTAAGAACATTTTTGGGGTTAATGAAATAAAACTCTTCCCACCCTTGGTCTGAATGCCTGCTAATACTGTGGGGTTTCTATAAGCCACAACTTTGTAGGATACCAAACCAAACAGAGCAAACAAAATTAAACCTCCTTTCACCAATTTACCAGTTTCAGCTCAAAATTGGTTCTTATCAGATTTATGAATCACAGTCCTTTTTGAATGATATAGTAATTATTATTTCTGGATATAGCATCTTAACATATATCTCATTGCATAATTAAATGAGATTATTCATGAAATCTAGTACTTAGTAAATTATAAATAAATACGCATTTCCTTAATACCAAATAATCTTGTGTAGTGGATATTCTTTCACTTTTTATGAAGAAACAGATAATTGGATTAAGATCAGTCAGAATGAGGCTAGCTCTCCAGTCCAGGCTTTCTGACTGAATTTGATGTGCCTCATATGGTACCGAATAGTGTGGGTTAGGTATGGGCCATGACACTTGTCGCCCAGTTATCAGGAAAATACTGTGCTGTGTTCAAAGAGCTGCTCAGATTTCTGGACATGACTGCTCAGTTTTGGTGGGCTAGGAACCCCAGCAGTCAAGGGAACACCTATCCGTTCAACCTAAATCCTTTAATCTGATGTTTGGGAAGACTGTTAAAAGGGTTCTCGGAGGCCTGACATGTAGGAAAGGAGGGTGATAGATACTGGCTTTACAGGAAAAGATAACATTTCTGTTAGGGGAGTGAAGTAATGCGACTGTAGACTTCCTGGTTTATAGAAAGCATGAAAGCTTATCCAGGTCCATGTTATCACCTCTTCTCAGCCCCCAAAAGGTATCTGTAGCCGTTTACAGCTTCACTGCTGTTGCTTCTGGCTTGTCTTTCCTGGCTTCCTAAGTGCCCTCCTGCTCTGCCCTGTACCTAAAGCCAGGCCTCATAAGAGCTCACCTTGCAAAATCTTTAGGGTTTTGACTTAATTAGGATTTGAGTCCATCCAGAATTTCCAATGGAACTCCAGATTCCTTGGCCTGTCCTACATTTATTTCCATACCCTCCAGCCCTGCTGTCTTGGTTTCTTCAACTGGGAAGAATCTGTGTGTCAGGATTTTTTTCTTTTCTTTTTTTTTTTTGGTACTGAGGATTGAACTCAGTTCACTTAACTATTGAGCCACACCCCCAGCCCTCTATGTTTTATTTTGAGACAGGTTCTTGCTAAATTGCTGAGGCTGGCTTTGGACTGGGGATCCTCCTGTCTCAGCCTCCCTGAACTGCTGGGATTACAGGCATGTGCCACCAGATTATTCTTTTGAGGTCCTTCTTGTGCCACTTATTCTAAGCATTGCCAGAGGGAGCAAAGACCAGAGTCCCTGCTTGGTTCCTCTCCCTTTAAGATTGAAAGTTTTAATACTTGGTCATTTTCCTGTGATTATTCACACACAAGTTCCAGTACTTCTTTGTTTTTCCTACATTTCATAAATCTGGGACCCTGAAGACTGGGTAAAATGAGATATAACCTACCTTATTATAGAAGTGACTCAGTATTTGTTAAAAGTAAATAAAATGTAGTCAGTTTAGGGCTTGCTCTTTGGTTATTTCTTTATTATTAACATATCTATTGATTACAAGCATTTCATTGAACCAGTGGTCCTCTGATTAGAAGTGTGTGGGGCATGTTTGAACTATCCTGGAATGCTGGCTGAGCTGACCAAGGAGTAGAAGCAAGCAAATAAAGTTGCTCCAGTCTAGGGGCCTAGGTGGGGGAGTTCAGACTAGTGGAGGGTGTCTGGAGCTCCTCTTCAGAGTGGTAGGAGGGGTTCTGGAAGGACACAGGCTGCTAAGTCAGGTCAGATGTTTGTAGGTAAAACAGTGGGAAGCTACTAGAGTTTTTAAATAGGAGGATGACTTGTTTGGGCCTCTTTCTTTCTTTTCTTTTTATGATTTTTAAGAAAGGGTCAGCTGACTCCTGAGTATGCGATTGTTTTTGGAAGATGGTAGTCAGGAGACAGAAGGCCTATGCAGCATTTGTTGGGCTGAGAAATCTGGAAACAAGATATCCTCCTTGAATTTTGAACTACCAAGGCAGTTAGAATCTTGTTATTTGGTGTGTTCTATGGGTGACCTGGGGTTTATCAACAATGCAGCTCCTCAGTCCCCTCCCGGACCTTTTGGGTCATAACCTCATTTTAACAAGATCCTCAAGTGGTTTCATGTTCTAGTTTAAGAAGCACTGCCTTGGAAATAATTCCTACTGCCCACCATTGTACTCCTGTGAAAGAGAAGGAAATGGTCCCAAAAAGGCTTTCTGAGGTTTAATATAAAAATATATATATTTTTATATGTCATTCACATTAAATGTAGGAGGGTGTTTTTTTGTTTATTTTTAAAGTAAGCTGTATTTTTTGATTAATCATAAAAATCATCTTGAGTGTTCAAATATATAAAAGTTAATTAAATAAAGTTTAGTATTAAACTAGGAGATTATGGGGCTTTAAAGCATGGTTGGCTAATTCCTTACTTTGTAAGTCTTAGTAGAATTTGGCCGGGATTTTCCTACTTACTACTAATCTTGCAGTTGTAGAAATCTGTGAGTTTTTTTTTTTTTAAGTCCCTTTACATTGATCCATTTATTATTAACAGAGAATTACAAAAGTACTCTGGGCCAATTTTTCTGAATTCTTCCAGAATGACAAGGTGGTATCCAGGGAAATAGAGGCATTCATACCTGCTTTATGACTTAAACCTTTTAAATACTTTTAAACTTTGTTTAGTGCCTATGATGGAAGCCAGGCCCTTGCACATGCTAGGCAGGCACTCTACCAGTGAGCTATATCCTGATCCTTAAACTATTTTAAAGAAATAAAGCAAAAATACCCCCTTACCTCAGGTTTTGTGTAAATAGAGGCAGCCTACATTAAATTAATGATGCTATTCTTCTGTTTGGTTAGACTTCTTTCCACTTTCATTTCATGCATATCAGACTTATCTAGAATTGCCTTTGGGTTTGGGTGTTAAAAGTGGGTTTGAAATGCACTAAATATATGTTCTTTGATAAGTTCCCATTTCCTCTGAGTCTGCAGGTAAACTGTAAAATGGCTGGTATTGATTAGGTAGGGGAGAAACAGCACCTGTTGAAACTTGTTGGCTGAAGTTTTTGTCCCTTAGAGGGATAGGGCTGGGGGAGGTAAGTGACCCCTCCCCTGGTCTTGATTACCAACTGTCCAGATCTTCCCTGATGGGAGGGGTTGACAGCAGAAGCAGTAACAACAGTCAAGAGGTGACTTAGGTGATGGTCTTTCAAAGGCCAGGCTGAAGATCATTAATGGACAATTAAATATCTAGCTGTTTCTTTGTATTATTCCAAACATTTTAATGTTTATTATATCAGGAGGATTATGACATCCTCAAAAGAAAAATGAAGAATAATTTATGTGAGATTCTGCAATACCAGCAAAAGTTAACTTTCCATTAGTATTTATATATGTACATACAGTTTAACACTATTATTAGGCTTCTTGTTTTTCTTTTACTTAACATTAATGACTAAAGGTATTTTGTTTTTTTTCTTTCTTTTGCTATACTAGGGATTAAAACTGGGGATACTGTAACATGGAGCTACATGGCCAGTTTTTTATATTTTGAGACTGAGTCTCACTAAGTTGCAGAGACCGGCCTCAAACTTGTGATCCTCTAGCCTCTGCCCAAGCCACTAGAATTACCACTGTGCCTGGCTTTTTACTTAATATTATATCCGAAACTTTTCATGTATGGTTATTTCTGTGTCACTTTGCAAATATTCTAAGTTGCTTTGCAAATCAAAGCAATTTATTTACCAGCCTTAGCCTTTTCATTATCTCTAGGATGGGAGTTAATACAAAATTTTGTGTAATGAAATTGTTCTAAGAATTTGATCAGATTCTTTGTAGAAACTGTATTTGGTTGTATTGTCACTGGTACATAAGTAAGTGTCCATTAATCCACGACAACCATTGTTACTGCAGGTCCTGGTTAAATGGCAAAGCAGGGTGGGGTGGGGTGTGAGTCTTTTGAACTTGAGTGGAGTGCCCCAACCCCCACCCCTGAAACCTCTCTGGGTGTGGTTTCCTTCACAGTGTTAGAAGAGTATTTGGTTTGCCTGAAAATGCACTCGACTGAAACACCCCCTTTAGAAAAAACATAAGTCTGGTGGCTGTCATTGGGCCAGGTGACTTTTGATGTAGGTTGAAGGCCCAGTGGTGGTGCCTCTCCCAGGTTCATGAAAAGCATCTGAAGCAGCTACTGTTGGAGCCAGAGCATCCAGCCCTAGATTAGAGAGCTGCCTTTGTCAGAGAGCACTACTGTGTCCAAACTAGCCTTGACCGCCCTCTGTGGAGATGTTGAATGCCTCTACTGTGTTTGCTTTTGAAAGGCCTTTCTTAGCCTTTCTCTCTACCCCAACCCCATTTTCAAGAGGCACAAGACCTTTAAGTAGCAAATACAGTAATCACAGTAGCATGGAGACACAGGCTGGCCTATATTTGGTTTCACAAAAGGCCTTGTGAAGGATCTGGCCTTATAGGCCCTTTTTAATGCTGAAATGATGCAAGTGGAAAGTTAATTTAAGGATCATGGAGACACGCTGTATTCATGAAGAATGTGAACAAAACATAAATATAAAGTCTGGAGGCTCTGTTCTTCTCTGGTGGCAAGGAAATGACATAGGCTGTGCTATTTGGGTGAGTCCACCCTCTGTCTACCCCAGAGCACAATTGCAATGAAATTTTGGAGTGAGATCGTTCTAAGAACCAGATCAGTGTGTGTGTGTGTGTGTGTGTGTGTGTGCGTGTGCGTGTGTGTGCGCGCGCGCTGTGTGTATTTGCCTGAAATCCTTTAAATCATAGACAGTACTTTGGTAGCATTGATATATGCAATTGGTGGTTACAGCCAAGATGGTAGGAAACCAGACAATCTCTTGAAATGAGGCCTCTACATTTTTATTTTATTATTTTTTTAGTTGTAGATGGACACAGTATCTTTATTTATTCATTTATTTTTATGTGGTGCTGAGAATCAAACCTGTGAGGCAAGTGCTGTATCACTGAGCCACAGCCCCAGACTTATATTTTTTAATTAGGTTTCTTTTTTAGTAAGAAAACTTGGAAGGTCTATTTTGTTTTTATTTTTGAAGGTCTATTTAAAGAGTACAGCATCTTTAAAAGTCTCTGTAGTCTGTTGAACTGTTAAATGCCAATGAGTTTCTGTAGATCACTAGCTCAAGTGAATAATATCCCAGATGTGAATGTAAATCTAGTGCAGAGTGTGTTTCTGGTGCTTGAAAATGGTGCGCTGATTTCTATTGAGGGAGGCATTCATTCCCACAGAGGTTTAAACAACTTTCTGTAAAATTCAATCTTATAGTGTTAGAGGGGAGATTATGTATTATCTGCAAACAAATGCAGAGCAGATGAAATCTCAGCTGTGAAGTCTGTGGTAGAGCCAGGGGAGGGTGGAGGAGAGTGATTCAGAACCTGGTGGTGGTGGTGAGGAGGGCTGTCCAGGGCATTATAGCTCATTTCAGAAACATGGGGTGGGGGAAATCACGTAGGCCAGGAATTTTACAGAAGCAAGCATTGAAATCCCGGCTCCACTAGGACTCACTGAGCCTCGTTTTCTTTCCACTGGGAAGAATCAATAGCTCTTGGGGGTGATTGTGGAGATTAAATTAGGTATATTGTATTAGTAGGGTGACCAATTCATTTTGGTTTGCCAGAGAGCTTTTGGGTTTTGGTACTGAATGTTCCACCTCTTCGGAATCTTCCTCAGTCCCAGGCATGCTGAGTGATCCGTCACCCTAGTTACATATGAAGTTACCTCCTACTGTGTATACCCAGGTAAAGATTGTATACCCAGGTAAAGATTGTGGACTCCCAAGAGGACATCGTGTGTATGCGTTTGTTCATTTCTATTCTTTCCTAGAACTTAGCACATAAATAAACATCTCTTGAATGGGGTGATGGATGAGTGAGTAAGGGAAGCAGTAATGCACATGTTTTAAAGTGAGTTAGCTGTTCTTCCTCCTGAGGCCACTTCAACCAGCTACTTCACAAATACTGTGTTGAATGAAAAAAATTAATCATGGTGTGCGGCAATGATTTTGTCTCTATCATTTGGACATATAATAACTGCAGGAAGGATTTAGGTTGAGCCTGTTTACATTTTTAAAAAATATTTTTTTAGTTATACGGACACAATATCTTTATTTTGTTTATTTTTTATGTGGTACTGAGGATCTAACCCAGTGCCTTATGCATATGGGACAAGTGCTCTACCACTGGGCTGCAACTCCAGTCTCAGCCTGTTTATATTTTTGATAAGAAATTTGACAGCCTGATTCTCTTACAGCTCTGTCTTAGGGTCCTACTATGATGGACTCCCTAGAACTCTGCAGGATCCTGGGGAACTTTCTTAACTTTGTTGGGTGGAGGGAGGGAAGTTCCCACACAATAAGTACTAAAGTGCTTTGAGCATAGAAGTAGTTCCCTAAAAATTAAACGTTAGATTGTCTCTCATTGTTTCTTTCTTTCTTCTGACTGGAATGGTTAAGAGTAGTTAGACAAGGAGAAAGTTTAAGGTCTACACTAATGTGATCTAGCTACATAGCAAAAAAATGTAAAAAAAATATACTCCATAAAAGTGGGATCCATTTTTCTAGGTGTGGTAGCCATTCACATTTTTATTATGTGACCTGTAAAGCAAATACAGCTTTTCTTATTGCAAATGTGTCCTTGCTCATGGATTTAGCTTGAGCAATACTTTTTCTAGAAGCTAGGCAGTTAAGCAACACTCTGAGCAAATAGAGGCATGGCCTCAGAAACTTAGATAACATGTTAATGTGCTCGGCCTTTTCAGCTGAAAAGAATATTGGAAAGAAAACTAATTTTGGCCCCAAAACTACTTCCCAGCCCTTGGTGCCTCTCAGTCCCTACTCCAGTTTAAAAAAAAAAAAAAAAAACCTTTGCTTTTTCCTCTGCAAATATATATGATTTCAATTTTGAGATAGGAGGTTATTTTTTCACTTGAAACACAAGGAAGCAATTTTTAAAAGTCATACTTTTTCAGCACTAGGCTTGACTCTAGTCAGCTTGACTCCTGTTCTTGGCCACAGAACCACATACTGTCATCTTAATCAGGATGGTAAATTCACATGGCTTTTGAGGGGAAGGGGTTAGTTGGAGGGGCACTAGGGCAGTGGCCTGCTGGGCTTAAGCTCCAGGTGAAGGTCATGAAAAAGAACTCAGGGAGCTAGCTGGCCCTTTGTTAGTGTCTAGCCAGTGTGTGGAGGAGTCTGGGGAGGCCAGCAGCAACCAGCTGATACCCATCTCACCCATTGTTGTCCTGAAGTAATTCCAAAATGACCTTTCTTACCTCATTTTTCCTATGAGCTCATGAATTATGTCATTGAGCCTGTTCCCTCTTTGATAAGGAGAATCTCTGCTTTCTGCTTGGTGTTTCAGGAAGAGGAAAGAGAGGCACAGGTCACTTAGTGATTCAGCTGTCTATTCGGGATCTTCTCTTTGTTCCGTCTCCGCTGGAATTCACAGTGTAGCTTACTTGTCAAGGTTCTCTGTATTAAAAACAAACAAAATTCCTATTGGACCAGGAGACTTGGTCATTAAAATAATTATGGTCTTTGGCATGACTCAACCTCTGGTTGATATTCTGCCTTATGGAGGGCCTCTGTCTGCAGTTCTTGGCTAGGCACTGGGGTCACAGGAGTACAGTTTCTGTCCCTGCCCTCAAGAAGTTTACAAACAAGTCAAGAGACAGGAACACAGGGCTATTGTAACAGGATTTTAGTGACTGTACCTAGGAAAAGGGCTGCTTTATACAGTTGTAAATGGAGGACACCTGCCCTCTCTACTCTTCTGGGGTTGCTGTGAAAATCAGTTAAAATAATTGTTGTGAACTTTCTATGAAAAATATAAATTCATAATCAAATATAAGAAAAAAATTGGGAGGGGGGGACAAATGTCAAGGCTGTCTTTGTTCTCTGGTTTACTCAACTGGTCTGGTGCCTGCTGTTGAAGGAAAATGACACTATTCCAATGACAATAGCCAACATTTATGGAATGCTTACCAGACTGTGCTTTTATTTATATGCAGCACTCTCTCTTTTCAAATTCAAAAGAATGTTTGAGGTAGGGAGAGAAGCTATCTCTGTTTACAGATGAGAAGATGAAGTAACTGGCTCCTTGTCCTTCAGCAGTTAAGTGGTGGAGCCAGCCCTCACAGCTGGCTGGCCCTTCACAAAGCTCCAGCACTAAACCATGCCCACGCTGCCCCTCCAGAGATACTTATCTTCTTGGGAGGATATGGGCGTGGCTCGGTGTGGACACAGCAGTTGGAAGTCATCTAGCAGCAGCAACCAGCAGTTTCTTGAGTCTGCTTTGAAGCAACTTCCTCAGCCTGAGTGCTCAGAAAGCATCCTGCCCTCTGAGGGTGTATTTACGATATGGTTTCCTTCCTCCTGCCTCTGGGGTCAACTCTTCTCACCCAGGGTCAGAAGCCACCAGTCGCTGATGCTTGAGTCATTCAGTGCCAGCCTTGTGTTTGGATGGGCTGTGCCCACAGCGGCTTCATAGTAACCAGTGGTGCTGTGAGAGTCAGGGCAGCCTGGGATCACACCCTTCCTACCAAACTGCTCAGTCTACTGATACCTGTGATGAAAAGCCAAACCACAGGCAGCTTCTCCTGCATTGAATGTGACTGTAAGAAAATGTTTGTGGGGGTTTTCAGCAAAAGTCATCTTAACTCACACAGTATATCTTTTTAGTCACTCTGGAAGGTAGAGGGTCCTGTCTGCCATGTAAATTGAGGAACCTGAGACTCACAAAGGTGAAATGTCTCCTGAGAGAAGAATTAGCCAACAAGTGACAAAATAGGAAACTGCTGCAAGAGGGAGCTGTTTTCTTTTTTTCTTTTTTAGTTGTAGACAGAATACCTTTATGTGGTGCTGAGGATGAACCCAGTGCCTCACACATGCAAGGCAAATGCTCTACCAATTGAGCTCAACCCCAGCCCCGTGGGGGCTGTTTTTCAATGTGTCTTTGAACTGAAAGTGCATTTTCTAAATAGGTGGAGACACACAGCAAGGTGTGGTATATACATCCTGTGTAGAGACTGTATTGATTTTAATTTTTGTTTTAGACCCAACCCATTGTGTATTTTTGCTTGTTCTTTTTAGAGATCTGTGAGAGTCACAGATGTTTAGAAGTGCCAAATTGAAGCAGGCATGGTTGGCACATGCCTGTAATCTCAGCAACTTGCTATCTGACTAAGCTGGGGATGTAAGCTCAGCTCAGTGGTAGAGCTCCCCTGGGTTCAATCCCACAGTACTGCCCCCACCCCCCACCCCACCCCCCCCAAAAAAAACCCCAGCATGTAACACAGCAACAGACTGGATTCACAGCTGGAAGACAAGGCTCACCACTCAGGTTTCTCAAATATCAGTTTCTGATGAAGCTGTTGTTCTTGATGAGTAAATCCTTCCTTTAAAAACAATGCTATCAGCTAATTTGCTTATCTTTGATTTTGTAAGCATAGCATCAGAGGGCTGAGTATTGCCTCTGCATATCTTGAAGGGCAGAAATGACCTCCACTTAAATGCATTTAAGGTATTTGGGTGTTGTAATTTGAACCATACTATAGCCTCAATTCAGATGATATTACAGATTGGTGTATTGGGGATCCTTTGAACATAGAGATGTGGATGTAGAGACACTGGCAGTGATTGGGAGACTCTGGATTTGAGCTGCTGGATAAAATGCCTGCAACTAGAATACCTGTTGTGATGCAATGAAATGGTGACTCAGTGGCAGCCAGACTTACATGTTGGCTCTACTTCAAGGTATTAAGGATTCATTTGAATCCATCCCACAAACCTTTAAACCCATGTATGTGTTTACATACATTTAGAAAGTTGTGTCCCAACATGCCTCTGCTTAGACAATCATGAGAACCTTATCTTTCTTCTTTTCTCTTGAGACAGAAATTAACCTGTAGCATAAGAGAAACATGTTTCATGGGTGGATGCTTATTAGGACAGCACCCAGAATTATTTAAGTTATGGCAGCAGAGTGAGTGGGGAAAGGTAACTGATGATGACGGCTGTGTTTTATTCCTTTGTCATCCTGATCTGCATCCCTGTTCTACTGCTTTCTTGGCTCAGTTAATGACTTAAAGCTAAAATTTTGGTGGCAGGTATTATTTAGGCCCAGGAAAAAGAACTGTTGACTTTAGTTGCTTTAGTTTTTTTCACTCTGTACTTTGGTGGTGCTTTCTAGAGCACAATCTCAAAACCCACTGGCAAAGCCTCCAAGCCAGTTGCTTATAATGTGTTCTAGTTGATGCACCATTGCAGACTGACTATTGAAACACTAGCATGTACCTCCTAATTAAACAAGAATAAGTGCTATGGATGAAGGCAGGGTAACTTTTTAGAACACATTTACAGATCTGAGATTTCTGAAGAAGCCATCAAACCCAATCACACACTCAGTCAACATTTAACAAGCATCGTAGACATTGTGAGCAGGTTACAGTGCGGAGCACATTGGGAACACAGGTATGTGGGTGCAGTCTGAAATTATTTTCTAAAAGGAAATAATAGGTAGAAAGTGGCAAGTGCTCCAAGACCTGAAAACATTTCATGTTTGTGGGATGTGTGAGGCATTTTGGAAATTAGTTTATGGGATGTTGGATATTGTGGGTTATGAAAAGAGGGAGTCACAAAAACATGGAACATTATTGGGGTAATAGCTGAATATTTACCTGGGCTATGGTGTATGTTTCTTCCTTACACTTCAACTATTTATGCTTATTATTAGTTGGGATTTTTGCTGCTTGTTTTTTTGTAAGACAACAAAAAGCTAATGTTGGCACATGTCCAGGGAATCAGCTGCTTAGCAGCTTATGTTGGCAAAATGACCTTGACAAATGACTTGCGTCTCAGTTCTCTTGCTTGTTAGAAAGGGTTGTTGGTCATCTGGTAACAAATTTGAAGACACTCCCAAAAATGAATGTATGATTATACCATGACCACTTTCTCTGAATGCTCCTGTAAAGCTGTGGTAGATAGATGGCTACTGCAAACACACACACACACACACACACACACACTTTTGACTTTTCATTCTCTAAACTCACAGAATGAGTCCTATGGGGAAACTCAAGGGCTTCCAAGGACTGAAAAAGAAAAAGAAAAGTTATGTCCTTATGCAGGGAGCAGGAACATAGGTCCCTTTCTGCAAGCACAGTTCTCAGTACTTTGCAGTGTTGGTTCATATGTTCCTTACAACATCCTCGTGGGGTATTAGCTTCATTTTGAGGATGAGGAAATTGAAGCACAAAGGATACCTTGCCCAAAGATGCTTAACCAGTTAAGTGATAGAGCTGGAATTCCAACCTAGGCAGTTTGTTTCAGGACCCTGGTTTCTTAGCCATTTTGCTGTGCAGCCCCTCAAAGGCATTTTCTGTATGATAATTTATGAAAACACCTAAACTCTAGCAGCTCCGGAGGCTGAGGCAGGAGGATTTCAAATTCAAAGCTAGCCTCAGCAACTTAGCAAGGTCCAAAGCAACTTAGCAAGACCTTGTCTCTAAATAAAGTATAAAAAGGGACTGGGGATATAGCTCAGTTTGTTGAGCACCCCTGGGTTCAATCCCTGGTACCAAAAAAAAAAAAAAGAAAGAAACATCTGAACTGCTATGTCTGTGCTTTTGTAGCTATCACATTAGCATTTTATTTTAGGATATGAACAACCTTGATTTGGCAAAAGTGATAGCTGAGAGATGCAAATTTCTGATTCTGATCCAACCTTACAGGGTTTGCTGAGATTCACTCTTAATTGCTGGCTGTGGCAAAGGATAGCTTTGTAAATGGCAAGTAAAATTCAAGACTTGCCTCATCCTGGAAGACCTTACTCTTACACTTTCTTTGATGTCTGCTTTGGTGATTCTGACAGAATAAATGGACTCAGCTGATAATACTTTTTTTGGTGGTTCTGGGGATTGAACCTAGGGCCTTGTACATGCGAGAGAAGCACTCTACCAACTAACCTACATCCCCAGCCCCTGATGATACATTCTTTTGGTCTGTGTTTGCCAGTATGGAAAATCATTTGTACAGGACCTAGAATGAAGGGTACTACTGTTGAAGTAGAATTTTGGAGTTAAAAGTATGGTCTTCACTCTAAGGAACTGACTACATAGAAGGTAAGTTGAACAATTGTCAAAGGTGATGACTGCGTTACATAGGAATATGGAGGTGTGGAAAAACAGACAAACCCATTTTTAAGTTCTGATTCTGGAGTTTGCTGATTTTTTTGGATTTCAGGGTTTTTTTGGCTGCTGAACCATTTGTTGGTATGGTATGTCCTTGTACGAATAAAGAATAAAGTACATGAACACATCCAATTCTGGTGTTGCTGCTGCAGCCTGGCACAAGAATCCTAGCTGCCATTGCATTTTTTCCCCCCAGGCCATCTTCTGAGTTTCCCCATGGCAGGCATAAAAACAGATTTTAAGGGATCAAAAGGGCCAAGCATCTGAGGCAAAAAGATTGGAAGTTCTAGGCCAGCCTGGGGAATTTAGTGAGAAGATTCTGTTTTGAAATAACTTAAAAAGAGGCTGGGGATATAGCCAGTGGTAGCATGCTCCTGGTCTCAATCCCTAGTACCAAAAAAATAATTAAAATTTAAAAATGTAGGGGGTGCACCACTACATCCTTGTTTCTTGTTATTACCCTAAACCCACAAGCTTAGTTTTGCTTGTTGTCTACATTTGGCACCAGAGGGGCAAGATTTTTTTTATTTTTTTTTTTTTGTCTTTATTGTTTATGCCCTGCTGAGTTCCAGAAATGATTTGGCCAGGGCAGGTGACTCCTGGTGGTGATTTTTGTTTGTATATATGATGACAAGACTATTTCTTAGAGAATTTAGAGTCACAAAAGACTCATCATAGGATTGCTAGTTTAGAGAATGCTGCATTCTCTTCTTTGGTTTCTTTGTCCAAAAAAATATGAGTATCTTTCTCAGGAAAGACAAGACATTGCAGACTGAAAGGTGCCATGTCACTGCTGTGTGTTTTTTCTGAGAAATTTTCAAGGTTGCCATGGAGAAATGTTCTTGTATTGATGTGTAGGTTATATATTCCCATTTTCTTTTTTGAGAATGAAGCTTATTGTAGATTTATATAGTTCAAGTGATCTCTTTACTTTTACTTTGAGTTCAGTAGATATAAAATGTAGATATAAATGTCATTGGTCCTTCCTTCAGAAGGACCATCCAAGCACAGTGTCACAATGCCTTTGCAGACCTGTGACATCCACAGGTGTAGGGTGCTGGTGACAATTTCCCTGCTTACTTAGAAACTTAAGCACATGCCTGCAGGTGGGAGGCCAGCAATGCTCTTTGGTTCTGCTTTTGAATAGTGAAGGTGTGTCTGCTTGAGTGGAATTCTGAAAAGTATCTTTGTGAGTCCTAGAAACTCCTATTGACCTTTGGGTTTGGGCAGAATGCAAGTCTTAGAGAATTGGTGAGAATGTGGGAACTAGTTTAAGC